AGTAGCTCATCACCTCTCATGTTAATTTGTGAAATAGTGCCTGAAATGCTTCTCATAATCTTTTCTTCTCCTGTCATTCATAACTCCACCAGAGTCACCACTATGTAACATAAAGAAAACTTATATTTAGGGTGTCACAGTCATCCAGAGGCAGAAATGTCCTTTACTTCTATCACAATTGCCTGTAGAACAGTCTCAGATTTAGCAAGTTCTCCAAAAGTCTCCACCATCTTTCCTATTTGCAAGTATAGCCGTATAGTAACCATTTCATTAATATTTCATACTTTTGTTTCTTTTATTCCCTCTGTATAGGATCTTCTTCACAAAGTTCCAGTTATCCAAGGCCAGGCTTAAATATGATCCTTCTTCATTCAGACCTCCATGATGAACACTGAGTAGAATTCAGATTTCCCTTACTTTCTGTCACTTAGTACTTTGCCTATATCTCTATTATGGATTATGTATAGTAACTCATGTAAATACATGACTTCATAACTGGATTGAGGCAAACTTAATTGTTACGTCTTCTCTACTGCTAGGAACAGTTCTAGAAACAGTGTTTTGTGTATAGAAATAACAGCACATATCTGATGTAATACTCTTTAAAATGGTGGGAGTAATAAATCTACATGATACCTACTAATTCTGTATCTTCCTAACAATTTCTTTCTGTGTCATAAGACAAGGTAAATTTTATACTTCTTGTTCTTAAAACTATTATTCATTCAGTGGATCCAGAAGCATGAACTCACTTTCTTATCCTCATCTGTAAAATGGGGATACATTGGTATTTACCTGTTAGTTATTATAAAGATTAATTCAGACAATACATGTAAAATACACTGTGATATACAGTGCTACTCATATGTATTAGTTATCATCAATCATCCTTGTTGGAGTTGAAATGTCACATACTTTGACAACAATATCAAACTTACTGCTCTAACTTCCACATTAGATAGGGGTACACCAATTGAGATAAAAAGAAAAACAACACTAGTTATTCTATATTTCATCAAGGTAAGTACTCAAACATTGATGAAACTATAACACTTGCCAAACCATATAATTAAAGAAATGAAAATAATAATAATAATAATAATAATAAGTAGTAGTAGTAGTACCAGGAACTTTATATGCATTTTCTCATTTTCTTCAAAACAAATGTAATTAAAGATGCTATTATAATTCCATTTTGCCAATGAGAAGGGAAAATAATTGATGTGAGATTACACAACTAGTAAACTTGAGAAGGGATACTTGAATCATGATCTGTCCAGTTAAACAAAGCAGTTGCTCTCATTACTTGCTCCCCAGTATATTTTCTTCTGAATCACCTTATATCCACATAATAGATATTTGAAGGTCATAGAAAACTTCACATATGAAAACTCTGTTCACACTCTATAAAAGGATAACATTTTTATCTGAGAAATATGATACTAATTTACTTCTACCTTTTGTAGCACATATCATTTTCTACCTTAAGTTACATTTATTCATATATCCATTTCTCCTGCCCATCCAATATCTAAGGCTTTTTCAGAAAAATACTTGTGTTTTGTCCAGCTTTGAACATCCCAGAATATTTGGCAAATTGCATTACACAAAGCAGGTGCAGAAATATTTGAGATTTTGCATTTTTTTTTGTTTCCCATGTCAATCTTATGACATACGCGTGATAGGTTTCAATTTTCTTGCTTTAAAAGTGAGGGAAAAAGGAGAGTGTTCTGAGCAGTCACTTTCATTGTATGACAGGTGTACACATAGATTTCATCAAAGGGCTAAATGGGTTTGAAGACTGGTGAGGCGCTAGTCTGGGCTCAAAAATATTCTAGGGAACCTAATTTAAATAAAACAGTCTCTGGCTAATAACTCATTGCCTAGTACCCTTCTTTGCCTTCCATTTTCAAACCCATTGAGCCCAGATTTTGAACTAAATCCTGTTTTCTTCTGATCTGCATGACTATCCTAGAGCTGAGCACTAAGAAAACTCATGAAATTTAGTTTCAAGAAATTTTCATTCCAGAAAGTTGAGAGCTAACTGTTGAGAATGCCAGTAAGAAATGAGTTTTAATTCCTGATGGAAACAATATGATTTTTCTATTTTAGAGTATTCTATATACACAATAAATGGCAATCATTAACTGAACAGTTATTTTATCATTGCTCTCATTTTTTGGACCAACGTTTCTTAGCTACACAAAACTGAGCCACTAAATTGAATCCTCAGACTTGAAAAACATCAATGGTCCACTAAAGTTGTAGCCTGAATCCACTGGTTTCTCCCACATCTATAGTTTTCAAGGTTTAAACAATCTGTTTACAGCTTTCTTCAGTCATTCAAATGACTTTCTAAGTCCCCAAGTCTAATAACAGTTCTGTAAACAACGTTGGCTGTATGCCTAAACACCTGTTTTGTTGATGGCTGTAACCTTGAATCCCACTCGCTAAGCCTGAGATTCTTTTATGGAACTTGCTGTTCAAATTTGCTTAAATTATGTCTTTTAAACCAAGTGTATCTTACAAGACAATCCTTCATTTTAAAATTAGGCAAACTTGTTCTGATGAGTCCTGGATGTTATATGTAAGTGATGAATCACTAAATTCAACACCTGAAACCAATTTTACCATATATGCTAACTAGAATTTAAATAAAAACTTGAAATTAAAAAAGTAAAATAAAATTAGGGGAAAGTTCTGCAGAATTTTCAACTAATAATGGAAGTTAAAGAGCTTAACTAAAACATCAAGAAAGAGCCTCCCCTGACAGGTGACATTATTGCATGGCCTTTTAACTTGTCTCTTGTGTTACTCATTGTAGCTGTTCCAAGTTCTACGTCAACATGTTTTCCTTTCCGTGAAAATGCTGGTCTAGAACCAAATGCCTTGAGTTCAGTGACATACATCATAACAGAAAATCATCCATTCTTGTTTAAACTGTGAAAAATAGTAGAAACAGAATCTTCCTCTCTTAAACCAGCAACACAAATTGATTATTTGGGCTCTAATACCATTGCCATTGCAACACACTTGCATGAAACACAACTAATGGGTTTCAGATGGTAAACACTTTATGATAACTTGTAATCCTGTCAGTAAGCATGATCACTATATTTACAAATTAATCTAGAATCTGAAAACACAGGACAAGTAAGCAAAGTCCATATTCAGACTGGGTGTGGTTTATGAAACCATTATCTAAGTGGAAAACCTTTGACTCTATGAAACTGTATTTGAAGATAGCTCTGCCAATAGCTTCAGATTGCATCATGAGGGCATTGTTAAGATTTCATATCTCCTTGATGATTTCAAAGATAAGAATTACAATGAACAAAAATCTTTACAGGGCAAGCAAACCCTATAAAAAATGCTATTTAAAATGTAATGTCTACTGGAATGTATTAATGTCTACAGTGTCTCAGTTTTACATATAACCAAATAACCATTATTTTTAATTATTACTGACTCATTTTTATTATCATCATCCAAAAATAAATGTCAGCAGAGTATAATTTTAAGCCAAAGAAGGTATTCTCTTAAAAAGAAGAGTAACTGATTCAAAGTGCTTAAATTAATAGGAATAAATAAATAGTATTTCATGTATATTAAGACATAACTGCAACTATAACCACAAATAGTGATTTTACACATTTTTTAAGGAGCCCAGTAGGACATTTGATAAATCACAGTTTTGGAAGAGGTTCGTTTTCAGTGGCTTCTTCTGTTTTTCAATTTGAGATTCTAGGAAGAAGTTATGCATATATGTTTTTATCTTCAAGAAGTAATAATCCAATTATCTTAAGTTTAGAAAATATCTAGCTAATTTATTTCCTTTTGCTCATATTTAGTATGTTTCTTTTTTTTTAAATTTTTTTTAACGTTTATTTATTTTTGAGACAGAGAGAGACAGAGCATGAATGGGGGAGGGTCAGAGAGAGAGGGAGACACAGAATCTGAAACAGGCTCCAGGCTCTGAGAGGTCAGCACAGAGCCCAACGCGAGGCTCGAACTCACGGACTGCGAGATCATGACCTGAGCTGAAGTTGGACACTTAACCGACTGAGCCACCCAGGCGCCCCCCGTATGTTTTCTTTGTAACCTTCTTAACACTCCTCAGGATAATTCAAGGAACCAGAGGGAATACACTGTGAGACTTGAGATTTGAAACACATAAGCATGTCAATGAGACTGGTATACTGATGGGTCTGTCTAAATTTAAAGCCCAGAAGGATTTAGGGGCGCCTGGGTGGCTCAGTCAGTTAAGCGGCCAACTTCGGCTCAGGTCATGACCCCACAGTTCAGGAGTTCGAGCTCCGCATCAGGCTCTGTGCTGACAGCTCAGAGCCTGGAGCCTGCTTCAGACTCTGTGTCTCCTTCCCTCTCTGCCCTCCCCTGACCGTACTCTCAGTCTGTCTCTCAAAAAAATGAATAAACATTAAAAAAAAAAAGAAATTAAAGCCCAGAAGGATTTATACATGACCATAAGCTATGCCTCAATTAAGTGCCTGGGTTTAAATATGAGTTTTAACCTCTGATAATTTTTATAATTTGAGTTAGCTTTAATTAATTGCACAGCCACTAACGAATCTACTCGGGATGTTGATTTACAGCTTTTTGGCTTAACAGTTTTGTTGCAATGAGAATAAAATGAATGATAAATCAACTCTGTGTTCTCCAAATGCAATTGTTACAAAGGCTAGGATGTTCTATTTTTCTCGGAATTATGTAAGCATATGATTTTTTTCCTTCTTGATACCTGACTCTTGAAATTAGCCTTTATCCAACCAGTTTCTTACACTTTCAACTCTACCACTCAGCCAGACCTGCTCTTAATCTCATCTCTGACCTCCAATCACTTGAGCTCATCTTAGTCTATTAGAATATAATAGACTGGCTATTCCCTCCCAGGCCATCCTGGACTGATCTCGTGGTTAATCATCTTAGTGACCTTCTCCCCACTTCTCTACATATATTTACTCTCCTTACCTTCTACTGCTGACCCCTCGTTGGCAGTGCTGTTGAGCCATCTGACCTTCTTTCTTTCTCCTAGTCATGGATGGAAAACCACACCCTCTCTGTAATTATACTCATTATGATTACAGATTTACATAAGCCCTGAAGCAACTCAGCAGGTGTTTGTTTTTTGAGCTTCCTTTGTTAATCCCCCTTCCTTATCCAAATAGGGACTATTCCAAACTGTGAAAACCACCTTCACATCTCAAATCCTATCTCTAATCTATTTACCTCTCACTCTTAGCACACAATCTATTCTACGGACACACTAATGGTTATCAATAATGGAATTTTTAAAACTCATGGAACTTTCCAGCACAATGAGTGAAATTTAGTGCATGAAATCAACATACACACACACACACACACACACACACACACATACACACACACACACACAAACACACACACAAGTTTAGGGTAATTCCAGGATGGAATGCAGACCATGAGAAAACAATGTAACAGTATTACAAATGCATTAGATAATCTCACAGAAAGGATAGAGGGAAAAGCCCTGATTTAAGTTATTTGAGCAACCAGTGGAGTCTGAAAGACTAAAAGCAAAAGAAACTACATAAACACTGTGTTCTACTTGATGAAATTGTTTCCCAAAGGAGCACATGTTAAAAGTTTTGATACTGCTATACACCTATATTGCGAATGAATGATTCAGTGAATGGATGATAGGTGGTGGGAGCTGTGTATCTCAATGTGGGTGTGAGAGATTACAGATTAGATACAAGAAGAGGCTATAAAGACCCCTATGGTAATGGAGTAGAGTTGCAGACAGCAGTATGAACTCAGGTGCATAGTAGCAGTAGGAGAAGCATTGTGCAGGCAGAAAGGAAACCAGTTATATTGATAATTGATATCACCACCTTTATTTTCTCACCTCCTACTACATCATCAACCCATAATAGGATTTCTAAGAACACTGTCCTCGTAAATATTTTGTTTCAATTGTCAACAATTATTTACTAATTACCAAATCCTATGTCATATCTTTAGTATTAAATCTACTTGACCTCTCTTCATTTAGCGGTACTGACCAGTCTTGAGCGTGCACGTGCACGCAGGGTGTGTGTGTGTGTGTGTGTGTGTGTGTGTGTGTAAGTCCTGGTTTATCCCTTCTTAATAATTTTACTTCTCTTTCTTTTCTATAAATAAGATTGTTTCCAAGATTTTCTTCAAGCAAATCTTTTTTTCCTTGAAAAATGTCATTCCTTTATCTGGTTCTAAAATCATCTAGTTTCTGGGGTGCCTGGGTTACTCAACTCAGTAAGTTGAGTTTCTGTCTTTTGATTTTGGCTCAGGTCATGATCCTAGAGATGTGGGATTGAGCCCCCATCAGGCTCCACACCTGGAGCATGGAGTCTGCTTAATATTCTTTCTCTGTCTCTCTATCTCTCTCTCTCCCTCCCTCTGCCCCACTCCCTCCATCTCTCTCTCTCTCAGAACACACACACACACACACACACACACACACACAAAACAAACATCTATTTTCTTATTCCCAGTATAGGTGGGAAAAGTTCTTCTGGTGAAAGAGCATTTTCTGATTTCTCCAATTTGTAAGGAGACTTTTCTGTCTTTATCATCAGCTTCTCAAATTAATGAAATCAAATGTCTTAAATTATTAGAAAAATTCATGAGACTTTGTTGCAGTGTACTGATTTTATCATAAGCAGAGTGGGAAGTGACACCATCAAGATGGTGCATTAGGTTATTCTCAACATCCATCCACCTCACAAGAAGCACAACTAATAGCTACCTATAGATAAAACAACGTTGTGAAAATTCCAGAAGTCAGAGGGGAGGTGGAAACACCTCCTTGACCAGAGATGGAAAGGAATTGCATTGTAAGTAGAACAAACACAGTTTCACTTTGAATACATTGCTTCTCCCCGTGGGCCAGCACAGCACCACACCCAGTCAGGTGTCACCACACCCAGAGAACCCGCTGGGACCACAATTTCTCCAGTGGGAAAGACTCCAAGGTGGACTTCCTAGAAACATACAACCTACCAAGACTGAATCATGAAGAAATAAAAAATCTTAACAAATACTGAGTAGAGATTGAATCAGTAATCCAAATCTCACAGGAAAGAAAATCCAGGGACCAGGTGGTTTCACTGGTGAATTTTACCAAACACTTAAAGAAGATGACAAGCTTTCTCAATCTCTTCCAAAATATAGAAGAATAGGAAATACTTTCAAACTCATTTTATGAGACCAGCATTATCCTGACATTGAAGTCAGACAAGAGCAGAACAAGAAAGAAAATTATAAGCCAATATTCTTAATGAACATAGCTACAAAAAAATCTTTGAATAATGATATAGAAGTCTACTTTTTGACCTAGGTGCATTGAAGTTTGAGTAAAAAGGAAATACTCTTTACTGTTAAGCCTTTGAGATTAGAGGGTGTGTTTATTTTAGCAGACTCTACAAGTCTTTAGCACCTCAATGTAGATATTATTTTCAAAACCGTAAGTGTGTAAATCCTCCAATCCTTCTACCTGGCAATGACAGCTGTATTTCTAAAGCACACCCTATTTCCAAAAATATTTGGTGATTCACCACAGAATAACTTAATGATGCAATAATGTCCAAACACCTTAGTATGTATATAAGGTCTATAAAATGCCCCACTTTTGTCTTTTTGGTCCTGCTATTTAAGTCAACTGTCTCCTTACCTGTTAAAACCTCATCATTCCAATTAATTCACATTTTGCAAATTGTATATGTTCTCAGGTTTCCATTTCTTTTATTGTTTTTGTTCCCTTCTGGAATTATCCTTATTACAGATTTCTTCTTCCAAAAGGATTGCTCATGTTTTCGACCTCACATTATTTTTTTCTTGCAAAGTTCCATTTTGTACTACCAGTTTAAAAACTGAGTCCACATTTACACTTCTGTAACACAATATTCATAGTATAATGTAGCATTTATTACATTGATCTTAAATTCATAAATTCTCCTCTGCAAGCTTTTGAACTGTTTTAAGTTCCTTATGAATGCTGTGTTTATTTCCTAAGCCAGTGGGTGTCTACAGTAAACAGATATTATTTTATTTTCAATTGGAAGGAATTAATTTTCCTCTATTAATTTGAAAATTGTGATTTTTTAAGACAAGAATATATTGAATTTTATCTTTAACAATTATAATTTTAGGGCAAAAATAATTACAAAATAATGAGACCAAGAAGGTTAAGGAGAAGATGGAAATTTATCCTATTAAGAAACAAACAAAATTACAAGCAGTCCTTTCTGTATTAACAGTGCCTAGTCTGAGTATTCTTATTCACTTATTAAAGCTAATTCAAGAAATTCTGATTGATGATGGCACTGTTAGCATAATCAGTCGTTGTTTGTCTTCTGCTGTCAGGAAACAATGAAAAAACTAACTTCACAAGTTCAAAATTGCCTTTCATTATTTCAAATAATGCTGTTACTCTGTATTATAAAATTATTTTTGGCATTTAAGTACATTCTAGAAAGAGTATGCAGTAGCAATACAAAAGCTATGCACAATTTTCATCAAATTTAATGTGGGGGAAATTTGATAGGTAAGCAAAGCCAAAGATGTGTATAAAACTACATATCTATTTTTCAAAATGTATTCAAGCTTGAAACTTCAAAAGAATACATTTTTAAAAATTCAATAGACAAAGACCTATGTGTCCAGAATATTAAGCATCTTTATTTCAATAAGCACAACTACTAGATTTTTTTTCTTTTTGTTGTTGTTGTTGTTTATTTTTGATAGTTGTGTTAGTTACTAATGTCTTTCAAAACATCAAGGGTGTGAAGAAAATTCCGTAAACATGTGATATAGAGTCCTATAAGAGGATCTGGACTAACATATTTCCTGTGAGAAGCTTATGCAGTATATCAAATAAGCTCAAATATTGATCTTAATTGTTAAATACCATCACATAAAATGATTTCTCTCAGTACTACAGAAATTCGTGAAGATCATAAAACAGTGTTGTACCAAAACTACAATCTTCAATCCATTCTATTTATTTTTATTAAATAGAAAGACAGGGGCGCCTGGGTGGCTCAGTCAGTTGAGTCTCCGACTCTTGATTTCAGCTCAGGTCACGATCCCAGGGTGGTGGGATAGAGCCTCCCGTCAGGCTCCACAAATAGAGACATTCATTATAAATGTAAATAATAATTAGAAGGCAGCATTCTAGAAGAGTTAACAAGGTTTATGAAAAATACATCTATCTTGAAGCAATCTGTCTGGCTTTGTGAGCCAGGTTAGCTATAGCTCTTAAACAATAATTAATTTTTCTTCACATTGCTGTAGTTACAGTGGAAACTACACCTGTAGCATCTCAGACCCCAAGCCACCTGGCTTTGGGGTCTTTTCAATAATTGAGCTTCACACACAGGGAGAGAGATTATCCTTCTTATTTCAAAATATATTGTCTAGCTGACATGACACTATAAGTTTCAAGAGCATGTTTTACTGACTGTAAATTCCTATACCACCCAAGTCAGCTAGAAAACAGACCTCTAGTCCTGCTAGCCCGAAGGTGATTGACAGTGGCTGTGGTCACATCAGTTTCAAAGGCTATGAGTTTCTGCAACAGTATACAACAGCCTGGTTGATTTGCGGACTCACCTAGGCCATTCCTTGGGGATTCCCAGAAATACTAAACAGAGGGAGCTGTACAAATGTCTAGAATTTTTCATGAGAACTGAGCTTCAGATTCTTAAGTCATAGTGCACATTCTTGTCTCTCTCCATCTCTCCACCCCCCTGCCTCTCCTGAAATATTAATAGCAAGTAGTATTTTAAAAATGATCTGAAGATGATGTTCACCACAGTCCTTTTATTTTTTATGTATTTATATATTTAATGAATACACATCAAAGATGTATTAAATCTGCTAAGGGTCACTATAGTGCTTTTAAAAATTGTTGTTGATTTGTGTTTACATATTGCCTGATTATAAACACTAGATTAAAATTTAAAAATATTTAAGGAGGTATCTCAGTATGGTTTTGATTTGTATTTCCGTGATGAGGAGTGACGTTGAGCATCTTTTCAGGTGTCTGTTGGCCATCTGGATGTCTTCTTTAGTGAAGTGTCTATTCATGCCTTCTGCCCATTTCTTCACTGGATTATTTGTTTTTCGGGTGTTGAGTTTGGTAAGTTCTTTATAGATTTTTGGATACTAACCTTTTATCCGATATGTCATTTGCAAATATCTTTTCCCATTCCATTGGTTGCCTTTTAGTTTTGTTGATTGTTTCCTTTGCAGTACAGAAGCTTTTTATCCTGATGAGGTCTCAATAGTTCATTTTTGCTATTAATTCCCTTGCCTTTGAAGATGTGTTGAGCAAGAAATTGCTGTGGCTGATGTCAAAGAGTTTGTTGTCTGCTTTCTCCTCTAGAATTTTGATGGTTTCCTGTCCCACATTTAGGTCGTTCATCCATTTTGAGTTTATTTTTGTGTATGGTGTAAGAAAGTGGTCTAGTTTCATTCTTCTAGGTGTTTCTGTCCAGTTCTCCCAGCACCATTTGCTAGAGAGACTGTCTTTTTTCCACTGGATGCTCTTTCCTGCTTTGTCAAAGATTAGTTGGCCATACATTTGTGAGTCCAATTCTGGGTTCTGTATTCTATTCCATTGGTCTATGTGTCTGTTTTTGTGCTGGTCAGAGTGGATAAAATTAACAACTCAGGAAACAACAGATGCTGGCTAGGTGGAGAAAAAGCAACCCTCTTGCACTGCTGGTGGGAATGCAAACTAGTGCGGCCACTCTGGAAAACAGTGTGGAGGTTCCTCAAAAAATTAAACATAGAACTACCCTGTGGCCCAGCAATAGCACTACTAGGAATTTATCCAAAGTAAATAGGAGTGCTGATTCACAGGGGTACATGTACCCCAATGTTTATAGCAGCGCTTTCAACAATAGCCAAATTATGGAAAGGCCTAAATGTCCACAACTGATGAATGGATAAAGAAGATGTGGTTTATATATACAATGGAACACTTCTTGGCAATGAGAAAGAATGAAATCATTCTGCCATTTGCAGCAACATGGATGGAACTGGAAGGTATTATGCTGAGTGAAATAAGTCAGTCAGAGTAAGGCAGATATATGTTTTCACTCATATGTGGATCTTGAGAAACTTAATAGAAGACCATGGGGAAAGGGAAGGAGAAAAAATTAGTTCCAAACAAGAGAGGGAGAGAGGCAAACCATGAGACTCTTAAATACAGAGAACAAACTGAGGGTGGATGGGGGGGGGGAGAGGGGAAAATGGGTGATAAGTATTGAGGAGGGCACTTGTTGGGCTGAGCACTGGGTGTTGTATGTAAGCGATGAAACACGGGAATCTACCCCAAAACCCAAGAGCATACTGTACACACTGTATATTAGCCAATTTGACAAATAAACTATCTTAAAAATATATTTAAGGAGTTAATGTTTTTTTTAATTTTTTTAAGTTTATATATTTATTTTGAGAGAGACAGAGACTGTGTGAGCAGGGGAGGGGTAAAGAGAGAGGGGGGAAAGAAAGAGAGAGAGAGAGAGAGAGAGAGAGAGAGAGAGAGAGAGAGAATCCCAAGCAGGCTCCACATCAGTACACAGCCTGATGCAGAGTCGACCTCATGAAACTGTGAGATCGTGACCTAAGCCAAAATCAAGAGTAGGATGCTTAACTGACTGAGCCACCCGGGCACCCCAGGAGTTAATGTTTTAATAGGTAAAGAACTTAAATGCCCAGTAACAGGTGAGCCAAAACATGGAATATTGTATAGTGATTAAAATGCTGATTATGCAAACACTAAGATAGAAAATAACACTATGGAAAATAGCAAGAAGTAACGTTGTTAGTAGAGCATAGTTTCAATTATGTCCAAAATCGCAGAAAATAGAGTCATTAGAAACATCAAAGTAACTTGGGGTGGTAGACTAATGTTTGATTTTTTTTCTCTATTTTTCAAACTATAAAATTGATATATTTACTGTTTTAACAGTAAGACAATTGGCTGGAGAATAAAGTCATCAAACTGAAGAAGCTGAACATCATTTGGTAAGCTATTATTCATCAACAGCTATGGTTTGTACAGTTTCAAAATCCACTGATGGCATGCAGTGTGGTTTAAGTTAAAAAGGCTCACAATGAGATGTGGTGATCCCTGGTACAGAGGGTTTAACTTCACAGGTCACAAGACCATGTGTTCACTTGCAGGAAGCTTGTTCTCACATCTTAATCATTTTTCTACCATTTTCTCCTTATTATTATTTTATAATACCCACTGACTTTTCCAGTCATTTGAATCAAACGAAGAATAAAGAACTAAATATATTGAAAGAGGGGCAAGATTTTGGAAGTGCTACACCTCCAAAATCTTAAAGAAATGTATGGAAAAACTAATATATTCCACTTTTAAGTTGCCTCTGTTAAAATTGACTATTTTAAGACCCTATGGGCTTCATACAGATGCTTTTCACAGTTTGATTTCAGTGCTTTAGTTTTTAATGTAGCAAATTATTCAAAGTTCTACAAAATCAATGGCATCTTTACTCCAAATAAAACTTCATTCCATGCTTAAAGGACTGATTTCTAATCTCTGACTTTTAAAATTATCTCTTATAAATTATTTCACTATAATTAGCCATCTACCAGGCTTCAGAACCCTAGATTTTTCTACTATTTGGAAGCTTTTCCACTTCACCTGTGAAATAGGACTCTCATTCATAATTTTGTCAATGACTATTTAATTCCCAAGGTTCTCCATGCTTAAACTTAGGAACCAAATCCTCTAATATTCTTGATCTGCTGTCCCTCATGCTGGTCTTTATAAACCTTACCAATCTCTATTGAAACCTCACTGACTCTTCTTTTATGCTATAATTATGCTCCTTACAGTATGGCCTCCATTTCTTCACCTGATACTTCAGTGCTTATGCACCTGCCTCCATGCTGGCTATTTTTCTACTTATCTCCACTCCTTCCTCTATTACCAGCATGCACCTTGATCTAACTCAAGGATTCTCAAACCTAATATTGTACATACAGAATCAACTGGAGAATTTGTAAAACAAATTATTGTCTGAGACTCATCTCAAACATGTTTAATCTAGGGGAAGCCTTAAGCTATGATAAATGTAAAAGCTCCCCTATGTTGGGGTGGGGTGATAAGAGGTAATTCTAATCCACAGCCATGGTGGAGAATACCTATGTGCATGCTGTTTCCAGTCTCACCTGGATTATCCTTATATTCATCACTCAAGGCCCATGGAAGATCTGAAAAAAAATGTAAATATCTGATCTTTACAAAATTTATTACATCATTAAATATTGGAATTGTAATTCTTGAAATTTTTGAGTGGCAATTTCACCAAGACTGTGGTGAAGAAGACCCCAGTCAGGATGGTCCCCACAAAGACCAATAATTAGACAGCTATCCACAAACAAAAACAGTTCTGGGAAAGCTCAGAAGTCCACTTAGGAAACTTCAGCAACACAGTGGAATAATAAATCAGAGAATAACTACACAAAAGGGAAGGAACAAGAGTCCCATTCTGCCTACAGCATCCCATCCTCCAGACTGGCACTGCTCAGCACGAAAAGCTAACACCTCAGCTAGGAAGAGCTCCTTTCACTGTGGTGAATGTGCAGCCAGCCCAGCCTTTTAGGACAATACACAAAGGATGGCTTTGGTTCACTCCACCGCAAGACCTGCAAAGCTAGACTTGTAGACATTGCTAGGAACAAGAGAAAAGAGTAGAGGCCACTGGTACTAGTCGATCAGTAAAAGTGACTCCAGTCCCCAGTGACCTGCTCTACAGAAAACCCCAGCAGTTTTCACCATTGAAGAAAGCAAAGGCCAGCACAGATGCTGAGGACCTGCAGATTTCACCAGTTTTCACCCTTCTGTTTTTCACATTCACAGATGCCAGTCACCTGAGTTGCCCCCCTCCAACCCTCCACCTGCTCCCTCCTTTGTCCTTCTTGTCCATGTCCAACTGGAGCTCATGATCCTCACTGGGCAGCCAGCCTGAACCTCTGTAGCTGCTTGAGTGCAAGATGCCAACCTAGACCCCCACCCACACAGACCCTCAACACAATTGGTATGCTCAGCACTAGCCTCTCCACCTACGCACCTGCACTCTGCTGGCTTGATTCCCGTCACTGGCTTCCATGCCACATCCATACCTGTGTCAAGACCCTTTAGTCATCAGAGTGCACTTTGACAGCAAGGGCCCAGAAAGTTGCTTGTGAACCCAGATCTGGCCCTGTGTCCTGTCACTGGCCTATACCACTGGGCTCACGAGCAGCTTAGCTCCCCCAGTTTTGCACCTGCAGTAGGCCCTCTGGCCTACACTGTCGTGCACCCCTGGTGAGAACCTGTGGCCTCAGGAGTGTGTTTGCAAACCATATATCTCATAAGGAGTTAATATCCAAAATATATAAGGAATTCATATAACTTAATAGCAAAAAAAAAATCCAATTAAAAATGCACAAAGGATGTGAATAGACATTTTTTCCAAAGACATACCATGGCTAATAAGTGCCTGAAAAGGTGTTCAACCTCACTAATCGCCAGTGAAATCCAGAATGAGATATTATCTAACATCTTTTAGATTCTTACTATCACACAAATGAGATAACAAGTATTGGCGAGGACGTGGAGAAAAAGGAACCGTCATGCACTGTTGGTGGGAATGCAAACTGGTACAGCCACTCTGGAAAACAGTATGGAGGTTCCTCAAAAAGTGAAAAACAGAAACCCAGCAATTGCACTACCAGCTATTTACCCAAAGACTACAAAGGCACTAATTCAAAGTGATACATGCACCCTCATGTTTATAGCAGCATTATTTACCATAGCCAACTTATGAAAGCGTCCATGAACTGATGAATTGATAAAGAAGATGTGGTACATATTGTGGTATATATTTACAATGGAATATCATTCAGCCATAAAAATAATGAAATCCCGCCATTTGCAACAACATGGAGGAAGCTAGAGAGTATTATGCTAAGCGAAATCAGTCAGAGAAAGACAAATACCATAGGATTTCACTCATATGTGGAATTTAAGAAACAAAACAAATGAGAAAAGGAAGAAATAAGAGAGAGAGAGAGAGAGAGAGAGAGAGAGAGAGAGAGAGAGAAAACCAAGAGACAGACACTTAATTATAGAGAACAAATTGATGGTTACCAGAGGGGGAGGTGGCAGGAAGGATGAGTGAAGTAGGTGAAGGGGTTAAAGGAGTGTACTTGTCATGATGAGCACTGAATGATGTACAAAATTGTTCAATCACTATATTGTACACCTGAAACCAATATGATAATATTAACTATACTGGAATTAAAATTAAAAAATTAATAAAAAAAAGAATAAGAGACAACAAGCACTGGTGAAGATGTGGAGAAAAGAGAATCCTAGTGTGCTATTGGAAGGAATATGTATTGGCAAAGTCACTACGGAAAACAGTATGGAATTTCTCAAAAAATGAAAAATAGAAGTGCCAGGGGCACCTGGGTGGCTCAGTTGGTTGAGCATCTGACTTCGGTTCAGGTCATGATCTCATGGTTCATGAGTTCAAACCCCACATCAGGCTTCCAGAGCCTGCTTTGGATTCTCTCTCTCCCTCTCTCCCTCTCTCTCTCTCTCCTCTCTCTCTCTCTCTCTCTCTCAAAAATAAATAAATAAATAAACATTTAAAAAAATAGAAGTACCATATGATTCAGCAATCTCAGCTCTGAAAGGAAATGAAGTTAGGATCTCAGAGAGATATCTGCACCCCCATGTTCATTGAAGCATAATTCACAATAGCCAAGACTTATAAACAACCTAAGTTTCATTCAACACATGAATAGACAAAGATATAGTATTTTTTTATAACGAAATATGATTCAGGCATAAAGAAGGAAGCCCTGCCATTTGTGACAACAGGGATAAACTTTGACGGCATTATGCTTAGTGACATAAATTAGAAAGACAAAGAGAAACACTGTCTGACGTCACTTATATGTGGAATCTTAAAACATCAAAATCCTAGAAACAGAGAACAGATTGATGGTTTTGAGGGACTGGGGTCGAGAAAATGTAGAGATGTTAGTCAAACGATGTAGACTCTTAGTTGTAAAATGAGTAAGTTCCAGAGGTCTAATGCACAGTATGGTGACTATAATGAACAATACTGTAGTGTATATTTAAGAATTGCTACGAGAGTAGGCCTGTACTGTTCTCATCACAAATTTTTTAAAAATATTGTAATTATGTGAGGTGAAGGATGTGTTAAGTTAACCTTATTGTGGCAAACATTTCCCTGATGTACCAAATCATCACATTGTCTATCTTAAACTTACACATTGTTACATGTCAATTATGCCTCAGTAAAGCTGGGGGAGAAAAAGAGACAATAGTGATTCATGATAGCATTAAGGATTTTCATCAAATGACAATATAGTAATATGGGATATGTGTCAAATAATGTAAATTCAATCCTTTTCTATGCTGCATAAGTAGGGCAGAGTCCATAATGGGTATTATGCAAAGACACATGATCGTGGAATTTATAAAAAACGCATCTCAAAAAATCTTTAAATTTTCCTGTAAGGTGGTACAAACATGATTTAACATATTCTGTATATTTACAAACTGGAGTGGAATGAGAATCTAGGCTCTAAGTCACAAAGTGGTTGGGAATCAATGAAAGGCCAGTCTACTTCTTTTCTCTGTCTTCTTCTAAGCCTAAAAAGAAGTCTTTTAATCTGCTTTGTCAAAGAAACCATACCCTGGATACATTCCCTGCTTTGTCTTTCTGGGAAGTTCTTTTCCTGCATCTGCATTTTATTCAAAGCGACCTGGCAAAGGTGGAAAGGGAGTGCATCATAAGAGCATTTCACATTAGAAAGAAATGAAGTTCTGTTTCTTTAAAACTGGGAAAGGAGGCCTGAAGGTAGAAGTCAGATTCAAATATCATAAGGCTAAGCGTTTTGTTTGTTTGTTTGTTTGTTTTGTTTTTAAGAATAATTCTGTTCTCTAGAAGGAAGCCTGAAAAACAGAAAATCACTTGCTACAAATCTTGGGATACAAATTATTCAAAGCCTCATCACTAATCAAGAGAAACAGTACAAGCAACTTCATTAATGGCTTTTTTTCTTTTTAAATGACCCCAACCAGGTTAATGGTATGGGCTGTGCAGGTGGTTCAGAACACTGACAGCACATGCAATCATTCCCAGGGATTTTAGTTTAAAGACTCTGGGTTAGGGGTTGGGCTTAAAGAAAAGTCTCCATGTGATTTTAATATATAATGAGGGTTGAGAAAATGGGGCTTCATTAATAAAGCTGTTAGCAATAATATTAAATATTTGTGCCTTAAGCCCACACTAAAATATCTAGGGTATGTCTTGAATACATCTTATAATTCCAGCCATGTTTTCTAGTACCTAATAGGAGCTCATTTATTGTCTAATATAGTTTCCATGATTTTTTAAAAAATAATCACACTGATGAAATAACATTTATTCAGAGCCATCACATGTCAGTTATTCTTAAAAGAGTCTACTTTGTAGGCATTATAATCACCATTTTCTAATCACATGACTTGCCCAAGGTCAAGGTTATAGGAAGTCTGGTGGTGTGCAGGCCATGATGTAACAACTCGAAGCCAATATTCGTACTAAGAAACTGTCTACACCTTATATCAGAAATCAGCCAGTCAAAGCAATATTAGACATATGCATTTCATTGTCCATAAGCTCTTCAAAATCAATGTGTTCATGTCTGAATTCATGTCTTACTTCCACAACCCTGCTTTTTCCTCCTGAATTCACTCTATTCCATAATGACATTTACATGCATCAACACATCCTAACGAAAAATCTTAGAATCATATTAGGCTCCCTTATCCCCCTAACCACCTCTCTCCTAACATCAAATAAAATATCTGAACCTGTCAATTGTAGCGAACAAATCTATTTTGATTATCACTGACTCTTAGCCATCAATGTCTGTCTCCACCCCAGCTGTCAAACTCTAAGACCCAAGCCTCCCTCACTCTCCACATCACTATTTTATTTCTTTGCTATGACTCATAGGATCATGAATATTAAATGATCAAAATACATAATGAGCTTAGAATGGGTCCATAGAAAATGCTTAATAAATGTCAGCTATTATTATTCTGTGTCAAATGGATTTCATATAAACGCAAGAAGCTGAAGGATGCATGAAGAGGTTAGAAACATTTGTCCTCATCGCCTGTGAGAGTACACTACTAGGAAGATAAACCTTATGCGGAATTTCCCTCTTGTCCTAACTACAGTTATTAGAAGGCTGGTTCTAAGAAGAGCAGAGACAATGTTCTGTCATCTCTGATTTCTTATCAATATAGTTCTATAACACAGAGCCCATGCTCCCACGCTGCCCCAGTGTATCAGCCTGGCTCCCTTCTCTGAACCTGTTTCTGGCCCACTCTTTTTCATTCTCTGTCTGTATATAGGTCGAGACAACATTTCACTTCATCTCTTATTTCTAAATGGTCTTCTCTGGGGCGCCTGGGTGGCGCAGTCGGTTAAGCGTCCAACTTCAGCCAGGTCACGATCTCGCGGTCCGTGAGTTCGAGCCCCGTGTCAGGCTCTGGGCTGATGGCTCAGAGCCTGGAGCCTGTTTCCGATTCTGTGTCTCCCTCTCTCTCTGCCCCTCCCCCGTTCATGCTCTGTCTCTCTCTGTCCCAAAAATAAATAAACGTTGAAAAAAAAATTTAAATGGTCTTCTCTATTATCTTATATTTATAAATTCAGAAGTGATTTCAGTGGGACTGGCTGTATCCCTCTTTATGCCTCTATACTTATCCCAGGTTACTTTCACTCTACCCTACCAGGGAATTCCCATGTCAGTTGATTTTTACATATGGCTATGGAAAAACTACAGATCATTAGCATCATCATCACCAAAGGAAGTTAGTATGTACTGAGAGCATTTACTAAGTGTCCAACAAAGTCCTCAGTGCTTAATGAGAAACATCTCACTTAATGTTTACAGTAATATTAAAAGGCAGGCAAGCCTACTAGGTCACATTATAGTCAGAGACTGAAGCTCAACACTGTTAATTTGCCTAAAGCCACAGATCTAAGATGCTAGAATGAATGTGGGCCAGCACCAAAGTAGGAAATAATCGCAGGACCAGCTGGAAGTTGAAGGGGATCATCTGTAGAAAGCAACAGTCACAGACTCAAGTGAGTGTGTCTGGGGCAGGAAATATTTTATTTTAGCCCTAGTGTGGATGTGACTTTTGGCCTCAGTGATGCAGACACAAATTGAATAGTGGAAATAAGGCTGAATTGGAGAGTGCGTACTTCATCTAAGCAAGACCATAGGATCTCAGTTTTACACTTCAGAGAAGGACTCAGCGTAGCAACATCTAATTTTTCAAAAGCAAGCCATAAATTCAGATGGCCTGTGAAATCTAAAAATTTAAAAATACAGGCAACTGATTCAAAGATTCAAAAACAGTGTGAAGATGGAAATTACAGGGATTTATAAAAGATAAAAACAAGTTGGCCTTATGTTCCAAGAAAAATAGAGAAGGTGATATGAGTCCTATTTCAGTTGGTATGAATTTTTTTTTAACTTTTTAAATGTTTACTTATTTTTGAAGGAGAGAGAGACAGAGTGTGAGC